CAGGAATGGATAGAATGTTGTTGTCAAAACAATTGTAAGTTAACTATTTTTTTTTCTTTCTATTTAGTTATATTTCTGGGTTACCTACGATGAAATTGAACATTTTTCCAGGTTGATTTGTGACAATAAAATTGAAGGCAGTGATTCTCTAGAACCCAGATTCTCTAATAACAATTGTTCTACTCCTTTGTCAACTTTGTCTCGTGGCAAAAAGAGAAAGTTTTCACGCCGGTAAGCATATCTTCATTTTTCTCCCTGGCCTAGTGACCTTAATAATTTCATGGCATGCTTGCTTTCCGTTTGCTTCACTTAAATGCAGGGGCTTAGTAATGATTTCCTAATGATGTCATTATTTACTTGGTTTAAGATGATCTGTTAATCAATCTGAGAGACTGAGATCTCATATTGTCATAATTGAAATAATTATTTTTCTGTTTACATAGAGTTTCTGTACAGTCTTCAATAGATACAAAACTTCATTCTGAATTTCTAGTGGCGCTTCTCATATACCTGTTAAAACTTTTTAATGCATCAACACCATGAAAAGGTTTATTCTTCCCGAGTGGAGGTCTGTGTAAGTGAAGATAAATTGAATTTGTTTCTGTTTCAGTTTTTAATTTATTGTTTTGACTACTTAAAGCCAAGTTTATACAAGATTACATATTTATAGCACTATAAATCACTCTGTTTAGCTATGATTGGTGTACTTTAGCCATCTAAACTAAAAGAGACTTGCAGAATTATGTTTGTTCAGTGTTTGTTTTTCCATTTGATTTTCTTAAACCAGATCACCGAAATTATTTTATTGTTATGAAGGACTGAAAATTTAGTGTTGTGTTACAGCTCTGTTGAGGTGGTAAGATTAGATTTTCCATATCAAACTTTTACACAGTACCATCCTTTGGGATTTTATACTTCTCTTAATTTGCTGCATCTTTATGGTTAACAAGAATGGTTGAGTTTCTTATTTTTTGACACTTTGATGCATGGTGTGAAAAGTATACAATTATTAGACCAACAACAAGAAGAACTACAACATGGCATGACAAGTATGTGGTGTGGAAATATCAAGCAATGGAACATGGAAGATTCATTTATTATTCCACTTAAAGGAGCACTCATAAAATACCTCAATGCTGCAGCGGCTCTGCCACTGTGAGTAGATAACTTTCTACCCCCATCTTAATCTTAATATCTACATATATTTTGATCTTTCATCATGTTTAGCGTACTGAAATAGTCTGCTATTATTTGAAGCTTCAAACTTGGAAAGGCTACCCCTCGTGCATACGAAGAGAAATATTGTGACAGTCTGACTGGTAAGTGGAGAACCTTGATTGATTTATGGCCTGTGAGAAATTGATATCTATGCTTTTAACTGACTTTCAAAAACACATCTTTCATCATGTAGGTTCTGATGAGTTAGATATTGGCCAGAATGTATTAAATCTAGTCAATTCGGCACGACGTAAGTTGCTTGATCAGTCCAATAACCTTGCAGCTGCACCTTTCAGTGGTGGGCCTACTATAGAGATCAGTACTATTCCATATACCCAGAGCAGTGGAGCTTTCCCAGCTGTGCCAGATGCCAATAAGAAACAAAATCAGTCTCCAGCACCATTGCCTCCACCTTCTAATTCTCCACGTGTAAACCAAGCAAGTCAACAAAATTCAGCTAATGGAGCTTCTGAAAATTTGTGGAAGTATATCATCATAATCGCAGGTGTCGCTGTCTTGGTCATTGTTATTTTGGTCGTGCTTTGCATTTGGCGAAAACGAGCAGCAAAAGTAATAAAGCCCTGGAAGACAGGAATAAGTGGACAGTTGCAGAAAGCGTTTATAACAGGTATTACTCCAGTAAGCAAATAAAAACTACTCATACATGACTTAACTGCAAATTAGATTTAACAAAGTGGAACCTTCAATTTAACAATTATGTCATGCTTATTGAGCTTATCACTCGGTTGAGGGTTTCGGTTCAAAAATTTAAAAGTAAGTGTTTCTAAACATTTTTTTTACTGATATGTGTCTATGCTACTTAGCATTTGGCAGATTAGATCTTGGTTTCACTGCATTCTCCAAACCTGTTCCACAGAAGCCAGGACATATTTAATTTTTTGAGCATGACATAACTTAGAACAGCATTATGAGTGTTCATCATAGAATTTGAGATTCCTGAAAAAACTTGACCGTAATAAATTATTTATATTGAAATGATATTTTAACATAACTAATGTTTGTTTAGCAAATTTTAAATGCCTCATACTGAGTTCCCGCATATGTTCATCAGTCTATAATAATGTGATTGATTATTTTCATCTGTTTAGAAAAGTTACAGCTTACGATAAGTCCATAACCTTATCTAAAGGTTTGGAGACTCTCCTGTTCAATTTGTTCAAGCATCACCTTTCTAATTTGAATAGCAACAATTTATGAACGTCTTTTGTTATTTTATGGTCAGCCAATTGTAAGAAATTGGTTTCTGTCTTGTTATGCAATATATATATCATCTGCAAGTGTCAGCGTATGAATCAATCATGTCTAAGCTCTCTTCCTTATGCTATTAGCTCAACCAATGACTTACATCTATTGTCATGCATATGCTTGCTACAATTAGATATTCCTGCTAAATGCTATCTGGGCTTTAGATGTATTGTCACCACTAGGGACTCTGGTAGAGGTTATAGATTCAAGTTATGGTAAAGAATGTCAAATGTGCCCCATAAAATGAAAGGAAAAGAAATTAATGTTAACATATTATGGTGACTGTTTTGTCCTTGTATGTAATGCAGGGGTCCCCAAGTTGAATCGGGCAGAACTGGAGACAGCCTGTGAAGATTTCAGCAATATCATTTATAGTTTTGATGAATGCATCATATACAAAGGAACACTATCCAGTGGAGTTGAGATTGCCGTTGATTCTACTATTGTTACTTCTGCCCAAGTTTGGTCAAAGAGCATGGAGACGGCCTATCGCAAAAAGGTTTTCTCCTTCTCAAGTCAATGGAGAGGAAAAAGTTGAATTAGGAGTCGAATTCTATTGAAAGAGGGACTTTCAATTCTTAATTACCTGTTGCTAACTTTGCTCCTTGTATGCTTCAGATTGCTACATTGTCCCGTGTTAACCATAAGAACTTTACCAATCTTATTGGGTACTGTGATGAAGAACAACCATTTACAAGGATGATGGTGTTTGAGTATGCTCCTAATGGAAGCTTGTTTGAGCATTTGCATGGTAAACACTTTAGCTGAAGTTATTACCTTGCACATGGAAAATCTGAGTCAATTAAAGGCTCAAGTTCTCTTTACCAAAAAAGAATAATTAGTTCTGTATGTTTGTTCTTTTCAGTTAAGGAAGTTGAACATCTTGACTGGAGCGCAAGGATGAGGGTCATTATGGGCACTGCTTACTGTCTTCAGTACATGCACCATGATCTCAATCCACCAGTAGCTCATTCCAACCTCAACTCAGTTTCTATATTATTAACTGATGACTTTGCTGCTAAGGTATACACATTGCTCCTTTTTAGTTTGCTTTTAATGTCTAAGGTATCAAGTAGTGAAGTAACTTATCTCCATTCTGTTGCTCTCAGATATCGGAGATCTCTTTTGGCAAGAATGTGTTAACACCAGCCAACACAAGTGGAGATGAATCACATAAATCTGAGTTGCCACCGCAGGCTGAACCTGAAACTGATGTCTATAACTTTGGAGTATTGTTGCTTGAAATCATTTCTGGGAAACTAACTTACTCTGAAGAACAAGGCCTCCTTGTGAACTGGGTAAGTTTGAAATTTTCTTTCCTTTGAAAGCACCCTTCTTTATATTTTCAAGTGCAACTCCATTTTTATATGTCACTTAACAAATGAATCCTCATTAACTTCCTAGGCTGCTGAGCACTTGAATAATAAGCAAAGCATCAGCAATCTGATCGACCCCATGCTGGAATCCTTCAAAGACGAAGAACTTGATGTCATCTGTGATGTGATCAAAGATTGTCTTCAATCTGATACAAGGTTAAGACCAACAATGAAGGACATAACACCCAGATTGAGGGAAGTGCTTCGCGTGTCACCTGAGCAAGCTGTTCCAAGACTTTCTCCACTCTGGTGGGCTGAACTCGAGATTTTATCATTGGAGACCACTTAAGTTCTATCTGACTTTCTTCTCTGTGTTGCAACTCATGTCTCTCTCTAACCATCACCATACTGGCAGTTTCTGATAATGCTACATGATATATGCTACTCAAATTCTTTAATTCTATTTGTTCTTTTGCAAGTCCATATAGCTATTCTTGTCCCAGTGGAAGCGTGTTATGTCATTTTTCAAGTGGGGTGTTGTAAATTGTACTTTTGTTGATGAAGATTGGGATGTAAGAAAGTCTTGACATATTATTGATATCTCAGTCCAATGAACATGCAACTTCTATTCAATTATTTGATGAAACTTGTAACTGTTTCATGATTAAGATAGTCTACCAATTCCAAAACATAGATGTAGTGCACGCACTTTTCAAAATGAAAGACAAAAAACTTGAAAAAAAACACAACATAAACAACGACAACTGAGCTTTATTTCATTCCGCAATTAAGTTACATGCATCAAATAACGTAATTAGATTAATTTAATTACATGGATGTGGAAAAACAATAAAATCACTACACCACCTACTGTATTTAGTTAAAATATGACAAGATTATTATATGTAAATAAGGAAACTTTTGAGTGCATATATAAACCGGTCTTTCACTGTTTTTATATATAATTTTTTTAAGGTTAAAATACATTTTTAGTTTATATGATTTTACTTGTTTTACATTTTAGACCTTATAGTTTAAAATAATTTTTTTTTAGTTTTAATATTTATTTTTTTTTTAATTTTTTTTAATCTGTCATTAATTTTTAAGTAATATGGTTTTCGTGTGATGTGAGTTTATTAAAGGAAAAAATTTAGGTAAAATTTGTTAGATGCGATTGGTGTTGTTCTCCATTCACAATTGAAAATTTACTTTGATAATATGTACTTGCATTTAATGTAGATCTCATCATTATATATATATATAGGCACCAGTGATAAATTCTGAAACTTCCGTATGGCGCCATATGCATGCATTTTGTGAGTCGAGTCAATAAAATCATTGCATGATTTATAAATGTACATATATATATATATATATATGTTATTGAGATAAATTTCCAATTTTGATTAGAGAACCACATCAATCATACTTAAGAAATTGTATCCAAGTTTTTTCCCTTATTAAATCCATGGGACATAAATGTATTTGGTTTATTGGACAATGGTGTCACTTAATGGTTTGAAAGGAAAAAAAAATTAAGAGTATTTGATCAATGAGGAAAAACATGTTATTATCGTTGTCTAATTAGCAAATGCAATGATATTTTTTTATGGAGCACCGTGAAATTTTTTATTACATTAACACAAAAGAGATGGAATTTTAAATAAACTAAATATAGGAACCAAAAAAGATTGAAAATGAGAAACATAAAGACTAAAATGATATATTTTAAGTTATAAAGATTAATAGGTAAAATAAGTAAAATTATAAGAATAAAAATATATTTTAACTTTTTTAAATTAATAACAAATTAATTTTGTGCTAACATATAAATATCCTTATACTTAATATTATTTTTTTAAAAAAATTGAGTATTGTTTAAACTATTTAAAAAAACAAAAAATATTTCAATTGACTGGTCGGTATTTTATTTTTTTTTCTGATCCGGTTATATGCAGTTAATTGACTAAATTGTTTAACAGTTAACAAAAATCACTTTGAATACAATAACAAACAGTTTCATTGCTGAACTATATTTTGAAGAGTTTCGCTAGTTATAGACTATAGTGCAATTTGGTTTATTTCCAAATATATAGTTCTGTTCATAGATATTTTGCACATCTCTAAATCAAATAGACCATTCACTTTAAAGATATATTTGGTAATTGGTATTATTGTAAGACTGTCCTTTCAACTCTTTATCTTATTTGTAATGGATGCGAATCGTGCGATGGATCACTAAGATGTCGAAACTTTATTTCTTAATTTAACATACTATTTTTCAACCTTTTTTGTTTGATAAATCCACCTTTTCATATTTATGTCATATTCAAATTATGTAATTTTTTCATTTAATATATGATTTTAATTTTTATAACTCTTTTGGGAAATATTATCACATAAATTTAATTTGAAATTAAATTTTGAATTTTGAATCTTGATACACTAACTTAAATTGAAGTGATTCATCATTATTCAATTAAGTAGTTTAAATGGGTGATATTAGGAATAGGATTGAAACCATTTAGTTTACATTAATATCTTTGTTTCATAAATATCCAGTCAAAAGTTTAATCTTTAATGTTTGTGTATATGGAAAAACAATTTTTTTTTAAAGAAAAATCGACTTCTTAAATATAGTTTATTACATGAAAAAATTAGTACAAATATTAATTAGTGATTCAACAAAAATACCTCCGGTCACAAATAATGAAATAAATAAATATTGAAACGAAGAAAAATAATTTTACATTTGTAGGAAACAACTTATTTTATATTGTATGTCAACTTCTTCTAAGGAATAGTATTATAGAAGAATCAATGCGTGCCCGTCAATGAGTCTTTAATTAAAATAGTGTTTGATAGGTGTTTTCGAACTAGACAAAACATAACACATATTTTATTTTATTTTTGGTATGTTCTTTAAATAGAACCGAATTAGACATTAGATAAAGAAAAACTATACAAGTTGTATTAATTAAAAAGAGTAACATTAAGTAGAATAGAACATTACTACTTTACTGTTATTTTTTTAGTCACAAACATATTACTAGGTTTTATTTCAATTCTATATTTCCTTTTTCTTTTGGGATGTTCAATAGTTAAGATAGTGGGATTTTCTCTTCCACAAACCATCCCCCACAATAGTGTTGACTTGCATTTAGCGACAAACCTATAATTTTTTGGTAGATACAAGATAAAATCTTTTAATATTAAAAATTAACATGTTGTAAACAAAGTTAAAGATAAGTGGGCTTAAATCAGTGGAGTTAAATGAAACAAACTTAATTCCTCAATAAATTATACGATTAATTTTAAATTTTGAATGTGAATTAAATATGATTTTCTCGTGTTGTACAATTACGATAATAAAGTTTGAATTTGTAACTTTATACAAATTACTTTAATTTATTATCATCAGGTCGAATTTATTGGTTAAACACAACTATTTTAAGCTTAATTTGATAACAATTCAATTAAGATTTAGTTCGTAATAAATTTGAAAAAATCGAACAGGAACTTTATTTTAGAAACTAAAAAATGAATTCAATTTTTTTTATCCGGTCCCTCATAACCCACAACTTATATTGGACTAAGTAATTTATTTTGTCACTTGTAATTAAAATAAGAACGTAACATAGTAATAGTATTATAAAAAAAAAGGAAAAAGAAAAAGAAAAAGAAAAAAGAGCGAGGGCTCATGTTATTTATGTTTAACTTGCATCTACTTGTAGGACCGAAGATTAGACATGAGTTGCTCTGCCCAAATCTTACATGAATTACTTTAGTTATGGCCATGTTTTTAAGAATATTTTGGAGTTTTTTTACTGAAAAATATTTTTTATTTTTAATAAAAATATTTAACTTATATTGAAATAAGCTCTATATTCTTAATATTAGAAAGAGTTTCTTTTTGTGTGAAATAGGAATAACGAAATTGCAATGATACGGGTATCGATTTTCAATGTGTTGAAAATTTTTCTCTGTCATAAATTTTCTTAACCGAAATATTTTTAATAATTTTTATGTGAGCTACAAATTTTATTGTATTGTACATACATATACATATACATACACAAATATATATATATATATATATATATATATATATAATTATATTAGTATTAGTATATTAAAAAATCAGATTATTGTATAATTGAAGCACACATAATAAAATGCCTTTTTATAATTTATTCCATTCGCTCTTCACAGCAAACACTAGCTATGCGTGTTATGAAGTACTTTGTTATAGATTTGTAAAAAAGTGAAACCAAATATTCTTTTTATTTAAAAAACAGAAAAATAAATTATTATCTGTCATTCAAACCCACACTGAAAAAATGTGTTTGATATGATTCCCTTATGCAGGGGGAAAGAAATTGAAAAATTAAAAACTGATCCCTATCAACAATTAAGTATATGAACTATGAAGTATTTTTCCATCTTCCATTTCCCTGGCTGGCTTTGGATATATAAAAATCAGCAACAGCAGAAAGGGAGACATGAAATAGTTTTTGAACAGCGAAGTAGGTCCCAACAGTTGGTTCCATTAGCCACCAGGGTCCCGACAAATTTGAATTATCTGAAACCATTGTTTCTCCTTTTTTCTAAACCACAGAGAAGAACAAGCATCCATATTGATGATGGATGAGTAATACTAATTAGAAGGCAAATAGACAATTGCTTATTCTAGTTCAACCCCATGCTTCATTGCACCAGCATAAATAGGTCAAATGATCCAGAACCATAGATTAGTGATAGCGTGGAAAAAGCATTACACATGTCTGCATTTTCTAACAAGTCAATTTGAACTTAAAAAGTCTCTCCATGATATAATAACAAAATTCAATTCTAAATTTAAAAAAATAAAAATAAAAATTTCTTAAAATTTATCATTTGTAAGATTTCCTATAAGATACGACACGTTGACCTCGTGCTTTTAGGATTAATTTATGTTAAGATTAAAATGATTTTTAGTCAAAAAAATCACATTCTATGAACTAAATTAGCACTTAATTGCCAATTTTAAAACATCGTATGGATTATGTCATGGCAAAAAAAAATTATAACTTGGAAGACATATAACACTTGTGCTATGTTTAGTAAATACGCCATTTCCTTGGGCACCACTTGTTAGTGTGTAGGGCCACGCTACAACCAACTTATGATGTCTGTTCTGCTGAATCATTTTGGGTCCAATAATAGGCACCACTTGTATGTGTATATGCAGAGTCAGAAAGCAACAAAACAATCTTATTTTTTAATATAGGATATATTTTCAGGGCATTTATCATTCTATCAATGCTCTTGAATGCTTTCAAATTTGAGTGAATGTCACCCATGCAGGTACATAATTTTTTCCATGTTTCTCTACTCTGGCATATGAAATGGGCTTTTCAATTAGCCCCATTGCTTATAATATAATATCAACATGAAATGCCCCGGCAATCAACAAGATTCAGGGGGAAATAGATCACTTTTAGAAAGAAGCAGAGCAAACAATCTACTTTATTAGGCGCTTTCATTTCCCTTTACATCTGTAAATGGTGGGAGAAAAAGGATCTGAAATCTGAATCTGATTTGGTTACATGTACTAATTAACAGGTTGTTTGTTGTAGTGACTTTCTGATTGATACTCAGAACGTTACTCTCTTGCAATGGCTTCCCCCAATTTCCAATTCCAAAGCCACCGCAACATCGCAATGTTTCGCAATAAAGAATGGAAATAAATGAAATACATTTACACAGCAATGCGCCAAGACATGTGAACATGTACACTTTATTCAGTATATTTAAATTAAATCAGCCTTACAATACAACATTTTTTGGACATACAAATACAGTAGTATCTAATGCTCCAGTCAAGTAGCAAACCTAAAAAGCAGGACAATTCTTTCTCGAGTGAAAAAGAAAGAAAAATTTAACATATTACACACAACCTAAAAATAAAAATAAAAAAACGAGAGCAGCAGTATCCTATTATCTCGTGTCATTCTTCTGGTACCTTAGCTAATACAAAACATTCATTGTCTTTTTGGTTTCTCACATGTTTCACTCTTTCAAAACAATCATGTTCGAGACACAGACAATAAATGTAAACACCTTATCCGATAGTAAATGTAGGCACCTTATCTGATGCAAATTCGAACCTTGATTCATCCTCTTGCAAGATACTAGTCTCTTCTGCAAAACCCAATTCCCGTTGGTACAAAGATTCATTACCTAAATGTTTGTCAAGGGCAGATTCAGAAAGAACTCGTTGTGGGGGTTTAGATTTAGATTCAGAGTGCGTAGATTGGCCTGAAGAAGAAGCTGTTTCCTCCACCATCAAATTCTCCAAAGCAGGCCTCAACTCAGAGTTGCAAAACTTGTCATACTCGGCCTTATCCCCTCCCTTTTTCTTGACCTCCACCACCACCAAGGAAGGTGTCAGCTCAAAAATTTCAGCAGCAATGGTCAAAGGCCCCTTCACACCTTCCCGACACCCCTCCAAGCTGACCCTGCAGTCCTTCTTCCTCACAGTAAAACTAACCAACTGAGCAACCTCCTCTAATTTCGATATAATCTTGGAAACCGGAGCAGAAGACACAAACCTGGCCTCATCGCCTTTTTCCTCAAACAAGCCAGAGAGGTCAAAGCCTTGGGAAAACGATATGATGTCAAACGCATTCAAACTGGCAGGCCTCGGCAACGAAGCATTGGTAGTATTCCTCCTTCTAACCTCAACCTCAGAATCAGACGTGGCGAAATCATCATCAGCATGATCATCATGATGAAGCTGGAGCTGAAGCTTATCATCAAAACTACAAACCCTGTCATCCTCAACGTAGAATTTAATCTGCTTGAAGTCCTTCTTGAACCAGGGATGGTCCATGATTTGGGGGATGGAAATCCTGGTGTGAGGGTTGGTGTCGAGGAGGCGAGAGAGAAGTTGAGTGAGATCAGAAGAGAACCACCTGGGACAACGAAAGTCACCCTTGTAAATCTTCTTATACATAGCCATAACATTACGATCATGAAAGGGCAAGTAGCCGGCCATCAAAACAAACAAGACAACCCCACAAGACCAAATATCAACCTTGGCACCGTCGTAGCCCTTGCGACCCAAAACCTCCGGTGCCACGTAAGCAGGAGTGCCGCAAAAGGTGTGGAAGAGCCCGTCCTGCCTTATCTGGTCCGAGACGGCGCTCAGTCCGAAGTCGGAGACTTTCAGGTTTCCGTTTTCGTCCAGGAGTAAATTCTCGGGCTTGATGTCCCTGTGGAAGACCCCTCGCGCGTGGCAAAACTGGACGGCGGAGATTAACTGTTGGAAGTAGGTTCTGGCGGCTTGTTCCTTGAGCCTCCCTTTGGCGACCTTGTTGAAGAGCTCGCCGCCGCGGACGAACTCCATCACGAAGTAGATCTTGGTTTTGGTGGCCATCACTTCGAAGAGCTGGACGATGTTGGGGTGGCGCACGCGGCGGAGGATCGAGATCTCGCGCTTTATGTGGGACACTAAACCGCCTTTGAGGATCTTCTCCTTGTTTATGATTTTGATGGCCACGCCTTCCCCGGTTTTGGTGTTGCGCGCGTGGTGGACCTTCGCGAAGGTTCCGTGGCCCAGGAGCTTACCGAGCTCGAACCGCCCCAGGAGGAGGTTCGCCTTTGGAGATGCCTCTGCCATGGACGGAGCCTCAGCCTCAGGAAAGGGAAAACACAAAACACTTGTAGGGATACACACACAACACAACCTTCATTCTATACTTTTTCTTGCTTGCCTCTGCTTTCTAATTTCTATTCCTTGTGTATCAAAATTTAAGTAAATATATTATTCTTATTCATCATTAACAAAGATCAAGAATATACGCACTTCACCTTGTTCGTTTTGACTTATTACAGATTATAAAATTTACAATGTTTATTTATCAAGATTCTGTAATTTTAATTAATAAAAATTTGAATTAATAACTTATAGAGGACCTTATTTTTAAAAATTAAAATGTTTTTTTTAGTTTATTTGTTATTATTATTTGAAATAGATTTTTTAAGTTTTTATGTTTGTTTTTTAATTTTTTTTAGTCTTGTAATTTAAGATAATTTTTTTAATTTTTATAATTATAATTTCTTTTTGTATTTGTGTTAATTATTATTTTATAATGTTATATATGTTTTTTTTGTGTTGAGATGATTTTATTAGATTACTTGTCCGGTAACAACTCTAAATACGGTTAAGGTAAGTTATAGTTTATAACTCATTCTCAAAGAGACATTAATATTGTTTTTAATTTTTTATGTTTTAAAATATTTATTTTGGTTCTCTATCTTTTATATTTTGATCATTTTTAAATAATAATTGTACTATCCGTACCGCGAAGCTGAGCTTCGAGCTCGGCACCACAATGCAAGCCGACCTCGGACGCGCACCGCGTGGCATCAGCTCGGCATTTAAGTGAATCACAACTGATTTCCGAGGATCTTGCCTCGGACGAGGTCCGTTAGCTAATCATGCTATATCTTATCTCAGGCCAAAGGCCCAAGGCAACCCTAAATCACACCAAGGTACGTGCATTACTTATACGAGACACATACTCACACAAATCCTAACTTTAGCATCGGAGTCTCTTTTGCAGGTACCACCCCCATCTTGGAGCACCAGCGTACCAGTGAAGGAGGCTCACCGATCTTACTTGGCGGATCAGCTCTACAGCAGATTTCCGGTAAGAACATTTGGCGCCCACCGTGGGGCCGATCAAGACAGCTCTTATCGGCCACGCTTATGGTTTTCACCAGAAGCCATAGTAGACGCACAACAGACGACGCAAACCACTCAACCACCATGGATAACGAAGCAGCGTTGAGGAGACTAATCGATCAGGTCGAACAGATGCGGCAGCAACACGCCGCCGACCTACAAAACATGCGTGCCAAGCACGACACTGACCTAGCGGCAATGCGTACCGCTAATGAAGCCGACCTGGCGGCGCTACGCGCCGAGAACGAGCGAATCCGCGCTCAACTCCCTCGACACCACTCCGATCATCCTCCTCATACGAGCAACCATAATGAGGAGGAGGAGCACTCAGTCTCCCAATCCCGGACTGCAACTAGGGTCCCAACCCCCAGACCTGCTTCACATCGGTCTCATGCACCGACGCACAAGCCGACCCATGAAGTCAACAAGGCTCCTACTCATGCCGCGGGGGATCAGGCAACCTTCCGCCGCCACCCTTTTGTGGATGGCATTATGGAGACACCACTTCCTCGTGGGTGGAAACCTCTCCACCTCGACCGCTACGATGGCACGACGGACCCAGACGAGCACATCGACCTGTACACAACACAGGTAAATCTCTACACCAACAACGATGATATCTTATGTAGGGTGTTTCCGACCTCACTTAAGGGGGCCGCGCTCAACTGGTACACCCAACTGCCTGCCGAGTCCATTGATAGCTTCGGCACCCTAGTCCGGAGGTTCACTGCGCAATATGCGACGAGCCGACCTCACCATGTCACTTCAGCCGCCCTGGCCAGTCTCAGGCAAAACGACGACGAACCGCTCCGGGCATTCATGGAACGGTTCGCTGCCACCTCGATCAAGATCAGGAACCTGAATCCCGAGGTCGCCCTACATGCCATGCTCATGGCACTCAAGCCCGGGCCATTCGTCGACAGCTTGTGTCGTGAGTCTCCCCGCGACATGGACGAGCTCCGCGCCCGCGCTGCAGGTTACATCCAGATGGAGGAACACTCCGCCTTCCGTGACCAGGTTCGCGGAAAAGGACCAGCGAAGCCAGAGCAGGGGCACAACGATAAGGTCAAAGTCAACAATGACAGTCAGTTCAAGAAGTCGACTAGGGCAAACAGAGGGGGGAGGTATGACTTCTACACTCCCCTGAACGCACCCAGAGTCCACATCCTAGAAGAAGCCAGCAACAACAACCTACTCGCCCTTCAACCACCAGGCCACACTCCCAACAGTGCCGACAAGTCCAAGCACTGTCGGTACCACAGGAACCACGGTCACACCACGGAGGAGTGTCGCACGCTCCAGGACCATATCGAAGAGCTCGTCCAGGCAGGCCACCTCGGCCAATACATTTAGCGACAGCAAAGTCATCGAGGAGGCTATGGCGGTCGGGGGCGTGGCAGAGGTCGAGGTTCGGGAGCTCGAATGGACCAACCCTCTGGCTCCCAACAAAATGCCAGCGGCGTAGTGCAGGCCGAGATAAGCCAGGAGACAGGGACAGCCCCCTTACGGGGAGTGATTAACACAATCGCAGGTGGTTTCGTTGGGGGAGGCGCCAGCAGCTCAGCCCGAAAGAGGCACCTACGGAATGTCAACTGCATCCACTCTACCACCTCGGCCTCGCATCTAAGTTCACCGCCGATCTCTTTCTCTGACGAGGACTACGCGGGCGTCAGCCCCAACCAGGATGATCCCATGGTTACCATGGTGGAAGTCGCCAACTGGGAGGTACAAAAGACACTCATTGACCAAGGGAGTTCGGCCGACGTCCTGTACTGGCCGACGTTCCTCAGGCTAGACGTCCCCCATTCTCTCATCCAACCACACACGGAGCCCCTAGTCGGCTTCGCAGGAGAGCGAGTTCACACTCGCGGGTACGTAGACCTACTAACAACTTTCGGGGTACCTCCGGATACAAGAAGAATCATGGTTCGATACCTCCTCGTGGAGGCCAACACCTCCTATAACATCATTATCGAGAGGCCAACCTTGAATCAACTCGGAGCGGTGGTATCCACTCCACACCTCACCATGAAGTTCCCAGGGAATGACGGTAAGATCATCTCCGTCAAAGTAATCCAGAAGACAGCTCGGCAGTGTTATGCCGAGAGTCTGAAGATCTCCTCGTCCGGCAAGCAAAGCAAGGGGGGTCCCCCCACCGTAGCTCCTTAAAGTTCCATTTCTCTTTTCTGTATAAACGAAGTTGTGCACTCTTTTCCTGCCTCAATCCTTGACTGAGAGGGTTTTTAACGAGGCACACAAAAATGATCAATAAAATCACTCATTTTGCTTAATCCACATTCTTATTTATGGGTTTTATAAAGGACGAAAGCGAACCAACCTCTTTCACTCTCACTAAGGTCGAGTAAGAACCTTAAGCACTCTTATCCGAGGTCGAGTCCGAACCTCGTTACAATTATGAGGTCGAGTACGAACCTTAACACTCTTATCCGAGGTCGAGTCCGAACCTCGTTACAATTATGAGGTCGAGTACGAACCTTAACACTCTTATCCGAGGTCGAGTTCAAACCTCATGAAACACATATTACTCTAAATCCAAAGACGAGTTCGGACCTTGGTGAAATGCATAAATTCGAAGACGAGTGCGAACCACTTATCCAAGGACGAGTTCGAACCTTTACAACGTGCTACGTAACAAACATATAAGGTCAAATCCGAACCTTAGCGCAATTCACTCTACTTCAATTTGAGGTCCACTTTGAACCTCAGCGCTAATAAATCAAGGTCAAACTCGAACCTTCACGGAAACACTCACTTAACGAAAAATCGAGGTCGAGTACGAACCTCAATACGCTCACCCAAGGTCGAGTACGAACCTCGGCAAAATTCATTTTACTCCAAATCGAGGTCGAGTACGAACCTTGACCAAACTCGTTTTACTCCAGATTGAGGACGAGTACGAACCTCGATGCGTTCATTCGAGGTCGAATCCGAACCTCGATGAAATTCATTTTACACAAAAACGGAGGTCGAGTACGAACCCCAACACAATTCATTTTACGCAACCCCGAGGTCAAGTTCGAACCTTAGGACGTCCATCTAAGGTCGAATTCGAACCCTTAATACAGTCTATCCTACTCTAAAAACAAGATTGAGCTTGATAAGACAGAAAAACAATCAAAGTAAAGAAAATCGAATCTCGAAGAACAATATATATACAAAATACTTGCAGAGTTTGACACTTGAGTTCAAAGGAAAATGCTAAACAAGGAAATGAAAAAGGGAGAAATAAACTAAACTATTACAAAGGCGGCCTAGGCTGTGGCATTCTCACTAGAACTGTCATCGACATCGTCCTCCTTGACCAGCCTCCCAAAGCGGACAACCTTCTCCACATGCAGGGAAGAAAATTCGAACCCGGGAGCAAGGAGCCATGCCTGACGAGCAGCCTTTTGGAAGCCCCTCTTGTGCTCCATCACAACGGAGCGTTCGACCTCCGCAAGCCTCCTTCCACTGCCGCCTTCCCTCCGCCAGCTCCGCAAGCTCCGCCCTCAAGGTGGCAATCTCGTCTTCCCGGCCACCAAGAATGACCTCGCTACGGAGGTGCTCCTCAGCCGCCACCGCCAACTCTCCTTTGAGAGAAGTCACGACATCTTTCAGAGCCCGCACTTGGCCACGGAAAGACGTCACCTCATCCTCCAAAGAGCGGGCACGACCCCGAGAGAAGGCGACAAGCTCCTGCAGCTCCCCCACCCGGGAGGCATAAGCCTCGTTGGATCGCAAGGCGATCTCAAGAGACTTCTGCACCCTTGCAAGGTCGCCCCTCGCAAATCGAAGCTCGGCCTCCCGCAGCTTCGCCTCACCAAGGGCAGCACTAAGAACCTTGTTCTCCTCCCTCAGGATCTTATTAGCATCCTTTTAGGGTTGAAGTCGGCCCCTCAGCTTGGCCAGATCCTCTTGTTGCTTGGCCCACCTATGCTTCCAGTGATCCATGATGGCCGTAGCCCTCTACAAAAGGACCTGAGCTGCGTCAAAGCTCTCAATAGGCCCTGCCCCTTCGATCATTTCTTGGTCCCCAGTGCTCAACAAGCCTGTGGGGAA